TCCCTATCGCCGTGATTCACCCAAAACTGTGTGGGAAGACAGTCTGGCCCGGCCCGGCAGAGCCCGTGGGGCTTGGGGGTGTCCCCAACCCGTCACATCTCCACCCCGAGGGGCTCCTTCACTACGGCACCCGAAAATGGGGGCCGGTCCCAGACCCTGGGTTCTCAGCCAAAGCCACCGGCCCGGCCACGATGCCACGGTTGCCCCCCTCGGCCTTGCTTTGGGTGTCTGGGACGCCAACACCCCGCTTGTCCCCGCAGCACCCCGGCGTTGCGTTGTGCGCGGAGAGGAGAGGCGCAGGGAGGGCGTCAGCAGGGATCTTTATTGTCACGGGAATTAAATAACTGCGACCGCCGCGGTCGGGGGACGTGCCAGCCGCAGGCATCAAGGCCAAGAGGGGACGGGGTCCCCGGCAGCTCCGTCTGCCTCGGCACAGGGGACAGCGAAGCTCGGCCAGACCTGCCGGCAGCTGCTGGTGCCACCAAAGCCCCTGTCCTGACCGTATCCCTGTCCCTCGTCCTCCCGGGACGTCCGCGCGGGTCTGGCCCTTGCCTGCCCTGAGCAAGGCACCTCGTCTCCTCTTGCCGGGGCCGTGGCACCGGCTGCCACGTCCCCGCGGTGTCACGGTGTCGCCATGGCCCCCGGTCCCCTCGCTCCCCCCGGCAAGAGATGGGGGACCCAGAGAAGTTGATTTATCAGCAAAGGGAAAATAAATAGTTGAGTCCTGTCCCCTTCCCACGGGGGACGCGAGGACAAGAGGGGCAGACCCCGGGGACCAGCAGGACAGCGGGTGCTGCAGGGGACGATCCAGTGGGGGAAAGCGCTCCGGTGATGGGAGCCCTCCGTGGAGGAAAGGCGAGCCGGGGCCCGGGCAGGAGCCGGTACACGGGGGCTGAGGGCAGCAGGTCCGGGAGAAGTGGGGAGAGGAGGGGGCCAGGCTGCGGTGCCGGGGAGGGTCCCGCAGGGAGATGTCACTGCTGGGACGGTCGGAAGCGTCTGGAGGAGGGAAAGGGGGAGACGTTAGCCCCCAGCCGGAGCGGCCGGCGGGGAAGGGGACAGGGGCTGCAGCAGGGCCCTGCGGGTCCGGAGGGAGCGGGTACAGCAGAGACCGAGGTGGGGAACGCGCAGCCAGGCGCCGAGCCGAAATCCAGACCCCGGAGCACCACAGAGCCCCAAGCACCGTGGAGCCCTGTACACCGCAGACCCGAGGCCGCCGGCCGGTGAGCACCCAGCACGCAGAGCTCAGCACCCCCAGCCCCAAAGGCAGCAGCAGAAACTGAAGCAGCGGAGAGCCCGACCCTGGCACGGGGACGCAGAGCCCCATGGGCGGGCAGAGCAGCCCGGGCAGGGCATGATGGCAGGGCCAGCCTGGCCGTGCCTGCCCGCTGTCCCCGAGCCCTCCAGGGTCCTGTGGCCCCGCGGTGGGGCTCCCCTGTCCCCCAACACTTACAGACCACAGCCCCCGCCTTGGGATCTATTTCTTGTTTAGCCCCACGGAAAGTCCGATGATGAGGGCAACTATCCCCAGCAAGAGCACCACTACCACCGCCAAAATCAGCATCTTCTGGAGGGGGCAAAAGGGGAGATGGGAGACGGTTACGCCTGCCCCGTGCGGGGAGGAACGGAGAGCGGAGGTGGGCACGGAGGAGCCCAGAAAAGCCAGAGATGCTGCAGACCCGGGGACACGGCAGGAGGGGCTGAGCCCTCACCAGCTCATCACACCTGGGGGTAGGAGGGGGCTCAGGGCTGG